GCGGGGGGCCGGGGGGGGGGGGGATATGTACGCGGCACGAAGAGTTGGCAAAAGTCAAAGGATCAAGAAGACAAACCACATCATATCGCTGGAGGGGGCGAGAAGATTAGCCCCGAACAAGAACTCTATCCAGAGCAGCGGAGTAAACGCATAGCCCATCGCTGGTTTACGAGGTCAACTGGGAAGTGTTAAATATGGGTTTCAATTTAATTAAACGAACTTTTGCTATTTTAGGACAAGGTTCGGATCCCAATTAAGCGTTTTCCGCGTTTTGGGAAGCTATTCGCGGTAGAATCGGAGAGCGCTTGCTCGTGGGACTGCTTGAGACAAGGACCGCTAAAACCTTCCCTCCACCAAATTAACATCCCGAGGAATGCTTGTCTGCGTGACCCCCGATCAGGGCTCTTCAGACACACGGACAAGACTGCAGAGAAGGTGCTAATGAATGGGGTGAGGAAAGGCAACATGCTCCAATAAAAAAAAAACAGAAAGGAATCAACAAGAAAGGAGTGATAGGGGTAGGAGGAGGAGTCAAGGTTCTTGTGCGGGCTATGCGTCGAGTGCCGATGGACGCCAATGCGACACCACGATAAATCGTCCTCACACCATCAACGTTTCCCGCAACCAAAGCATACCACCACCACCGATAACAGAAGCCAACCATCAACACACCAAAACATAATCACAGCAGCCGTAGCAGCAGTAGCAGTAGCAGTAGCAGCAGCAGAAGCAGCCAATGCACCCAAAAACAACCAAGAACCGCACTGAGCATCAACACAGCAGCAGCAGCTGCAGCTGCAGGCCAGCTAGAGGGGCTGCCTCCAAGAGCTACAGGGCAGATCATTCTGGAGCCAAGGAAGGGTACAGGCTCACCGATCGCCGCGCGACTAGCAAAGAGCGACAACCCCCAGACCATCTCCCCCACTACAAGCTTTCATCTACAGGCGACGAGCACCAGTGTCGTAGTTTTCCCTCCGTGTGTTCTGAGGCACCCACCCCTTCCCACAAGAGCACAAGAGCAGCAGCGGTAGCCTCACCTGAGCCTCTTCCGCCCGCCACAAGGCCTTCCTTGCTTCCGTCTCCGCCTGCCTAGCCGCCCTCGCCGAAGCCTCCTCCTCGAACCTGGTGTGTTTTCGGCCGCACGGGGAGGGGGGTAATGGCGGGTGCTTGTAAAAAAAAAAAACTTAACACACACACACAAGCAAGGAGGATGATGGTGAAAGCACCACTCCAAAACGAACTCGAGGGCAAGGTAGCAGCCTTGGTAGACACGTGTTGCTACCGTTTTTGTCTTTGGTCCGGAGAACAGGTTAGCCTCTCCCATGCCGCCCCCTCACGGGGTCCCAGTTCATGGCATTTACAATTGTTCTGTGTTTTCAACCGCATTGAAACTGGCGTCTTTTCACTGGCAAGCCGGTTAGCGCGGTCGACGCTAAAAATAAAAATACACAACACACACATGCGCAATTTTGCGTCGAGAAGGGGGTACGGGCGTTTGCTCGTGAAAAAAAAGCTACACAAATACACACATGCGTAATTGTTTGTAAGAAAACCCACCCACACAACGAGAGTGGTGGTAAACTGCAAGGAGAATGATAAAAGCACTCAGAAACGAGCATAGTGGCAGCCTTGGTAGACACTTGCAGTTCTCTCCGGTTGCTAGACACCGTTTATATGCCGGAGTGTAGCTTAGCCTCTTCCATGACCCCCCCTCACGGGGTCCAAGATCATGGTACCCTGTAAGAATCCTTCATGTGCTCAACCGTACTGAGGCTGATGTCTGTTCATTGGTCAGTCGGTTGGCGCGGCCGGCGCTAACGATAACGACACACACCCTCACGGGGTCCTAGATCATGGTAGCCTCAAAGAAGCATCCTCTGCTTTCAGCCGAATTGAATCACGTCTTCCTATTGGTCAGACGGGGGCCGAAACCTGCACCCCCTGTGTCGCGGATCAGGCCACGTAGTGGCGACGACGATAGTAGAAAAATGTTCTGGACAGACGAAGAAACAGATACTTGCTCCGGAAGACACAAGAAAAAAGACACTCGAGAAGAGATGCAAACAAGGCGAACATGGACATTGTTGTTTTTTAGTCCACGACGATGAACAAATAGAACAAGGATACATCGCAATATGCTACTCGGGGAAGGTAGATTTCCAAGCTGATTTAATTGCAAATCTATCCTAGACTCTTCATCCGTGGAAGAGTTGAATATTTGAATATTTTTGTGTTTTCGTAAGAAAACACACACACACGCTATTTCGAGTCAGTTGCTTTCCTCACAAAAGCATGGGGTCGAACAAATGCCATCACCTCCTGCACGAGGGTTGGTCCTGAAGACCGGTACCCCCCCGTCCTATTGTATATCTGTGGGGGACCCTGCTTCTGAGTTATTGTTTGTCCTAAAAGCGGGGACAATTGTATCCTCATCTTGAGTAGACCGATTCCCCTGTAACTAACCTGCGTCTTTCCGCCTCCTCCGCCGCCGCGTGTGCCGCGTCCTCCGCTTCCCTAAGGGCTCGCATCGTTTGCTCCGCCCTCTGATTAGACAACGCCGCACAACAAACAGCAATGCTAGGATCAAAAACATTGAGCGGGGCGACAGATGACTTGACAGCTGTGAGTCGCGCAACAGTTTTGATAGCGGAACACGTGACGGTGACAGGTGGTGTGATAGCTGAACAGCTGTGGGTGACAGACGGATTGACAGCCGAAGAGCGGTATAATAGACACCTCTTCGGTCTTTCAAAACACGTGCCTATCGGGTTGAGGTGCCCACCGAAGGTGCCCGCGTTAGTTGAAACAGAACAGGGGTTAGAAGGTAAGCAGAGAATTAGGGACCGTAACGGCACAACCGACAATGGTCCAACCGACATAAAGAAGCAAGTATTACTACGCGCATGTGGTGTGAACTAAGCGGAGATAAAGTACGATCGATGCTTGGGTGAGATAGTTTGAGAACATGTTCCAAAGCCTACATAAATAGACACCGAATGATGGCAGTCGTCAAACGATTTGGCCCAACATTAACTGGTTAATGTTTTTCATCTGTAGTATTCACGAAACACGATTGACATCCGCGATATCCATGGTATCTCTGTCTTTCAATCCGGATTCAGGCTCCGTGGTAGTGATTGACTTTATAAGGGGGGTGCTGTGAATGTCACCTCCGACTACCATCTCGTAAATGTCGTAGATTGCGACGTTCAGATTACCTGTCGGAGATCTATCTACCTTCGGGGTGGTTTACCACAGGTACAACTAGTGCCCGCCTCTGAAGAACCTCTACCCGCATACGACACAAGATGACGCACCACCTGGACCGATTTTCAAAGCTCGACTACGCCACGACGAAGAGGATGCATAAACGAAACGATACAATTTCGGAAAGCTCTCGACCAGACAGCTTCAACGCCGCCGCCTTCGGCGCTGTGACTGACTCTTTCTGCTTTCTGCTGTTAAGAAATCGAGGTATGAAAATCGATCCAGGGGGTGTGTTTATCTTGTGTCGTATACGGTAATTTTGGCCGGGTCGGTTATGCTACGAATGGCCGTCAAACGGAACTAGTGTATTAGTGTAGGAGTTCTTAACATAGCTCACAAATTGTGCTCGCGTCCTTTGATTTAGACTTGGTTCGAGGTTAGATTTCCTCACTGAAAAGTTGTTCAACTGCCGGCGCTGACTGTAAGAGTAGGCCGACACGCTGAACTCGCGTGCGAGGGTCCAGCTGTCCGCCTGCCCCCCCCCCCTCTCTGTGTCACAGGCAACCTTATCGTGCATTCGTTCTCTCGTCGTGAGAGGTTGACTCTAGTGTGTTACTACTCCGAACCACACATGTAGCAAAAAAAACACTTGAGGGCTGCTAGGTGGACCTGGCTTGTGCTAAATAGCGTCCTGCGACGTAATTGTTAATTCTTCCTCGTCTTGTGGAGCCTAGTATTTCTTGATGGGATGAGACGCATGTGAGTTCGCGGGTGGGATGTGCGAAAGGTCAAGGTACGGGTTTATCGTAGACCCGTACCTGAACCTTGCACACACCCGGCTTGCTCACATGCGTCTCATCCCGTCGAAACAACAATGTGCTCCACAAGGCGAGGAAGGAGAACAGTCCCGTCGCTGGACCCCACCACAAGGGTCGGGTTGCGGCTCAAGTTTCTTCGACCACAAAAAACTCGTGCCTTGCACATTTGCAACTCACACGGTCCTCATCCCATCGAGAAATACTGGGTCCGTCAAGACGAGCAAGAATAACAATCCCGTCGCTGGGCCCAAGCTCAAGCCAGGGATTTCCAGGTCCGCATACAAGTAGCAGCTCTCAAGTGTTTTTTTACGACGTGTGTGGTGCGGAGTAGCAACACACCAGAGTTAACCCCCAACGAGAGAACGCATGTTCTGGAAGTTTGGTTGTGATAAAAGAGAGAAGGGGGGCGCTGTACTTGTACGCGAGTTCAGCGTGTTTACACTAGACCTCACAACGTGGGAACACCACGAGCGCAGATAGACCTCCGACCATTCATTCCACTAAACAAATCTACGCGACAGCCACAAGCTGACAATTCACTTACCATACAATAGAGGTTCCCGATGTAGTGCCGGTAAGTACCAAGAGGTCTGACAGGCACTATTTTATCGGACACCGCCGCTATTCAAAGCATAGGAGGACTTGGTTATTCAGTCTTATGTCAGCCGAGAAACCGGCACTATTCGCAGTAACTTTGTGATTCACGGCACTAAACCCGGCATCGTCAAACCGGCATCACATCGACCTCTACTGCTGCAAAATAAGTGCCACAGCTACACGCACTTCAGAACCTCTGGTTGTGGTCCAGACTGGGGTTCTTGGTTCTTCTTGTGCGCTACAAATTGCCGCTATTTGTAGTGCAGGGGTTCTAAACCGGGTTCACAAAAGCAAGTTCTCAGATCCTGAGCTATTCGATCCTCTTAACTTCAAGTGTCTTATCAAGTGCGTGCCCTAAAAGCTGTAGACATATATATCAAGTGCTAAGTTCTTCCCACGTGCGGGACCTCACTGCTATAGACAGATATACATACTGAGCTTCTCGGCGCTCAGACTGTCAAGTTGTTCATTGCGGGTCGGCGCTAACTGCTGGAGACAGAAACACACCTCGGCACTGGCTGTCTCTGCCTCCGTCTGCGCGGCAATCCTCGCCTCTTCCGCGGCGGCTACGTCCGCCTCAGCCTCCCGTGTGGCTTCCTGCGCCGCGGCTTCGGCCTCCGCCGCTGCCTTACCCTCCACCTCTGATCTCGACATCTCGATCTTCGCCTGCAACACCTCCTGCCCTCGGGACAGAAGGGGGGAGGAAGGGGGGGGAGGAGCGAGGGAGAGGGGGCGGGGATATCAGAAAGCCGTGGTCGTGCTTGTATAAAGTTACTGTTCTCGCAAGAAGAAAATAAACAAAAAGAATAGAATAGAACAGAACAGAACAGAACAGAACACAAAAACACTGAAAAAATGAGGTGCACGCTTACAAGGCCAACCAACAGACGAGCAGCTCTGGAGCATGCTTCCGGACGTCGGAAACGACACCCGACTATCCCGGAAAGCAAGGATTTGCGCATATATATTGTAGCACTGCTGAGAGCCAAAACAAGTGGGGGGGGGAGGTGGAGCCACCGAAGCGCATGGGCGGGTATGAGTTGGAAGACTTGTCTGTTTTCGGAGCTTGACTTGGGGGCAAAGACGCGGTATCGACGGAACGCAATAACAACAACAACAACAACGGAGGGAAAAAAGACCCCCCCCCACAAATTCCATGATTCCTACAGTAGAGTAGAATGGTGTGGTGCACCCTTTATTTCGTAGTTGCCCGTGATCACGAAAGGCTTCCGCCCGCGTCAATTGGGACCACCATGTACAGCATCTACAGATGCATGTACAGATATCACAAGGTTTTATCGTCAAGGCAACAACAAACACGCGAAAACGACAGTAACCTTCGCATGTTTTTCATTCAAGTAAATACGCAATCTGGTTGAGGGATAGGGTCTACGTATCCCCTCCCTGTTCTAAATAGTTCTTCATGAACTCTGCGTATCCCCTCCCTGTTCTAAAAAATTCTTCATGAACTCAATTTCTCGCGAAGGAAGGCGGTCCATTATGAAAAAAAAAAAAGAACTTGTCTAAGGATAGAAAAATGGATATGTTGTGGTACATGTTAAGAAAACAATAAAACAAAAATAAAATAAAAAACTCACCCTCTCTGCAACTTGCATTGCAGAAGACGCGTCGTCGGCGCTCCGCTGAGCGGACAGCACCCTTGGGCTGCTCGAGACAGGCGTGCCGTCGAACTCGCCGGACCCGGCCATCATGTCATCTCCGTCCACCTTAATGGATATCTCGCCCTCCCCGGCAGCGTCGACCTCCTGGGGGTTACGTGGGAGGGGGGTGGGGGTGGGGGTGGGGGTGGGCGGGTTGATTGTGCGGTGTCGCCCAACGATAAAAAAAGACCGACACACGATTGTCGGAAAGTGCGCTCCTGGAATCACGTTTTTTGGAAGATATGGATACATTCACATAAAGAACGTGTAGTCGAAGGGGGCGTGTTTGCATCTCGCCGTAACGGGTGGGGGAACATTCAGTAACGTTTCGTTCACGTTTCTCTGTGGAACATTAACGTTAACCTCTGTAAAACGTTAACCTTAATCTCAGCCATGATACTGCATATCCGCATCTTGCGTTGTGAAATGCAAATTGCAGCTATTTAGTGTGCACAAGGAGCTGTGGAGCACCCAATCAGCTGTGTCGCCGTGCAACGCCCTTCCAGCCAGCAAAACAACGGTGGTGAGACGAAAACCGGCAGTCTCCAGGCCAGACCTGCTTGTGTACGTGTAAACGCCACAACAGCAGTATGTGATTTCCTTCATTTCCTTCACTACCACGAGCGCACCCCGCACCAACGGCAAGATATGTAAAATGCCCAGCTCCAACGAGGGTTCATCGTATCAAAAATCTGCGCTAGGTGTCGACACGACCCACCCCAACCCGACCCTATCGCTACAAGCAAGCGCACGACTTCGCAGTGCCTTCAGGTGGAATCAAGACGGCGTGACAAGCGTTTCTTCTTGGAGGTCATTTTCAGCCTTCACCTCGTATGTTGTGCAGGCTTGCCGCGGAGGCCTTGAAGGCTGCCGTGCACACGTCAAGTCAATTAAACGAGGGACAGGCTTCCCCACCAACAACTAACCTACAGCAGTACCGCGGCAGGTGACCAAAACCACGACCCCCGACACACCGCCTGCTGCGAAATCTGTTGCCTGCGGATCGACGTGTACCGTGCATGTTTCTCTTTGATTTTTGGTTGAGGGGATTGCATGCATACTCTTTGGTGCGGTTAGCCTGCGACCATGGAAGGCGTCCCGTGCGCACCAGTTGCAATACTTCGTAGGTCATCTATACTGCCACACTGTACGGGGATGGTAGGGCGCGCAAACAGATTTATTGCCTACTATGTTGTACAATCTCCGCAAATTAGACCCACACCCAGTGTCTTGTACTGTGCTCTCCACCTCTGACCCCAACCTCCTGAATGCGGGTTTACTATGCCACTATGATCTTTTTTTTTTTTTGTCTTCACTTCAAATCAGCGCTCACAGCACTAGCGCCGTTTACTCCAACACGTGGTCACACAAAAGAGCAATCGTAGACATACAGGTACTTTCTGACGCTATGAATCCATTGCTAATCTGTCTCAGACTCTTTTCTATGATAGAGATGGTTTCGTTGTGTCATATTAAGAAAAATAAAAAAAGAGCCCCTCTCTACCCTCCCCTCCTGCGGTACTTTGCCTGCGATTTTTAATGCCAGAAGAGTTCAGCACTCTCTTCCCTCTGTGTACACACGAACTAGCGCTATCCACTAGGCCAGGAGCGGAAGCGAGAGAAAAAATCACTTTGCAAGAAAAGCTCGCTTACGCCGGGATTCGAACCCCTGACCTGACCTCTAGAAGGTTTCGAGGATACCAACTAGACCACCGGGGCGACCGGCTATGATAGCTATACTGCTGACGACCCTCCATTCAGGGGTTGACGGTCCGTGGAGGTGTCACAGCGGCTGTGACAAATGTTGGATTCCGCTTGGTTCCCGGCGCACATTTACGGACGTTTTTCAGAGACTGCTGCGACCTTCGATACTTGAGCTCAAATAGCAAACCTGAACGTGCCAGCACGCACGACGCCTCTTTCATGGTGTCCTCTACTGATGCCGCGGAATAGTTGTCGATGATGTAGAGTTTGAGATGAAATGAGTCCTCCCGCTTCGAAAAGCCTGGAGACTCCACCCAGGGTTACTACCCCCCGCGTTGACGTCGTTGTCAACGCGGCCGTCGAGCCAAAGAGTAACCACCCCGGAAATAAAATCAAAATACAGTTGGGCGGGTGGGGAGACCGTCATTCTTACCGTACTCTTTTCCCTCCGTTCGGTTTGGGAAGGCTTGCCACAAGTGGGCACTTGCTTCAAGCCTTTCTGCAGTTCATCTGTTCTCATCCACAGCACCCCTTCGTGGTTCCATGATTTCGACATCATTCTACTGCGGAATAGTTGTCGACGATGTATTTATGTAGAGTTTGGGGCGAAATGAGGCTTCCTGCCACGGCATGGGATCCACCCAAACTTCATGCCATTAACCTTCTTTTTTTTATCCATTGTCGTTGCCCGAATTTAATCCCGAGACTTCTCCATCGACGACAACAATTAACCACATGGTATCCTCGTCAGCAGTGGAGTGCATGGGATCAAAAACCGGGAGGAAGTTTTTTTTTGTTATTGGATGTAAGTGTGAATAGAGCCAGCGTCAAAAAACAGCTTGTCTTCAACCCCTTAAAAAAAATACAAATTACAGAAGTACCGCAAGGATTAGAGCATCGGAGTGGAGTGGCTGGAGAAGCTGCTTGGCAGCCACCAACAGCCTGAAACAAGTCATCATTTTCGCTTCCGATTCTCATCACCCCGGACGAATTGATTGCTTGAATCGGATTCGATTCACAGAGCTTGTTTAGCGTTTTGCTCTATTTGAATCCACGTGCCCTCTTGTGCTCGATTGTGCTCGTTGACGAGGGGGCCCCCAACTTGCACAAAAGTCACGAACGGGTAGTCTTTCTGTGAGGTAATGTTAACTTTCTAAAAAAAAAGTCACGGCGGTATCTATGTATGCCTGCATATTATGCTATTCATCGTTACAAATCGATGAAATGCGTTTACTGGTACAAATACCATTATGTAGAGATAACGTACACAACTTCTGAAATGAAACGGTGTTCTTCTGTTTTGTTACGAGTACCAAGTAACGTGCACCACTGACGGAGGTATACTTTTTTTATGTCTAATCCCCAAGACAAAACGACCGTTCCAACTACAGCGCGGGCAGTGGTAAAGCAGGAGTATGCAATGTATTAGGCAACGTATCATCGTTGTACGTAAGCAATGCAGCAACAGCAGTAGTCTACACTCCATTTTGTTCTCCTCAAAAAAATTGCACCTCTTGGAGGAAATGGAGGGCAGTACCATAAATAAATATCGGAGTGAGTGACAAACAGCAGACAGCAGTATTTAGTATGGTGTAGTCATGCGCGGCGCATCATCCGTTCCACCGGGCGCTACAATGCATACATCGAATCTTTCTCCGGATGATGATGCAGCGTGTGCCGGAGGAAGCGCAAAAATATCCACATTAGCGCTGGTCGCTGTTTTTGCTCTATGCCAACAAACGTTCGAAGAGGGGTGGAAAAAATAGAGGTTGGCCGAGAAGTGGCAACCGATGCTCTCTCTCTTTCTCGCGCTCTCTCTCCTTCCCTCGCCAGAAAAAAACATCCGCGCGACTCAATCCCTGCTACTGCTGCTGGTGAAAGCGCGTGTGTGCCGGGCGTCGGGCGATTATTACCAAAAAAAAATCTGGATTTAGGTTCCGTTTTCACAGAGCAGAGAGAGAGAGAGGGGCGGAGGCACGGTCGGCAGACCGAATTCGAAGCGTCCAGATATATGTACACGCCTGACCATTGTTGTTGTGGCGCTTTAGTCTACTATTGGAAAATATCGAGGTTTGGAGCTGCTGCTACGTGGGTTAAGCTCGCCGCGCTGCTGTCGGCTGAATTCCCATCCTCTCAACCCGCGTACATAGCTATAGGCTGTGCGTGCGTGCCTTCTATTTAGACCGCACCAGCAGCAACAGCAGCTGCTGCGGCGCGGCAAAAAAAAGAAGGTCTGGGAACAGGAAAAAAAAACACAACAACGTTACGATCACAGGAGTGAGTTTGAAAAGAACGTCCCGTACGCTCTCCCCGCTGTCGAGAAGGACGGCTCTACTTTCTGAGTGCAGGGAGAGGAAGAAGCGTGCAGCTGATGATGATGAGGACGGTGATGCACGCAGGTTTTCAGGTGCGATGATCTATCTTATCTCTCCAACGACTTGTAGGTGCTGCTATATGCAACATGTATTGTACGCGCGGAAACGGTTGCAGATTGTTGGCAGCAGCAAAAATAGCGAGCAGCGCTTGAACCAACCCCTCCTCCTCCAACGATCCTCCGGTCCTTTTTTTTGTCCATCCCTTGTACGTACCACGAACGAGCCCTGTGAGCTACCTGAATATCACCTGTGCCTGCTGCTGTTCGTGGCCCTGTTACATGTAAATGTCCCTGAAGGGTACTGCTGCTGCTGTTTGTGTGTGTCGCGACAGGTCCGCGATTCACCGCACAAAAAAGGCCTTGTGGAGGAGAGGAAAAAACAGAGAGAGAGGGTTCGAAAAAAGGAAAAAAAAGACAGAGATTTGTTCCACAGCTGCTGCCCCCGCCAAGAACCCACACTCACGTCTAGCGCCTTGAGGTGTTCCGTGTCAGCCGGCTCATCTGCCTGGCTGAAGAGCGCGCAGCAGCTGAACATCGTGCAGGACCTCTTTTTCCTCTCTCGCTCTCAAAGTGTCCAGCCAAGTTGCAGACAGAACCGCTCTCCTTCTCTTTGCCGTTGCCCCGCTCGCGCACTCTATTTTCCAGAGATTATTTTTTTCTCGGCTCCCCCTGCGTCAGTCTCCTCTCTCTCTCTCTCTCTCTCCCTCGCTGACTGAAAGGCACGGGCGTGCGGCTGACACGGACTTGCTTCGTCCTCAGCAGCAAGGCGTGTATGATTGAACGGGCTTCTCTGCAGGCGTGGTCTCCTGTTCGCTCTCGGGACGTAATGATTGTTATGCGATTTGTGGCTCTTCCTGCCTGTGGCTCCTTTTTTTGATGCGTGTCTCTCCATCTATCTATCGCCGACGACGACGCCAACCAGAGGTTCTGCCGCATGAAACCGTCATTTCAACGGGATTTTTCGTCTTCGTCTACATATGCATACCCATTTACCACACAGCAGTAGCACCGTTTCTGCAATTTATACTCCTTACTTCAGTACCAACAAGTTTATCGTCATCTCAAACACGAAGATGCGCCCTGCCACCAACGATGTCAAGAAGAGAATGTTTGATTACATGTGTTTCGTGGCGTCCGGATGTGTAGACTTGCATCTCGCCCTTGAGCATCTATCCGACGTCTTATGCATACAACCCCCTGGTCTACATACATACAATACTCGCACCGACGAGCCTGCATTACAACCAAGGAGTAGGGTTTAGGTTGCGTTGACGACGACGACGCAGCGACAAGATGCATGGGGTCAAACACTGTTTCTACCACTGGGGACGGTGAGGAACTTCGAGGGTCGGAACAAAGCATTGTTCGCAACCCGGCGGCTCCTTCTCAGACTAATAACCCTGCCGGACAGCCTCACGACCGCTTCGTCATGCTGAACCAGGCGAGGAAAAGGGATTGGCTCTCAGAGTAGCAACCTCAAACAGCCTCTGCAATCACCTGGTCAGATTGCAGGGACTGCTTGTTTTAGGTTCGGGGGGCGAGCAAATTGATCTCGTTCCGTTCTGACCGAACGCGGAAAATAATACCGATGAGCCACAAACGCATGTATGTATCGTGTTCTCGGACAACGCTTAGAGACGGTGTACAGACAGCTTGATGCAGGCCAGCGCGCGATGGCAGCAGAACATGCAGCAGCTGCTGCCGTGGCTAGTGACCTTCTTTCGCGCGATCATGAATCGTCATCGGTCGCTCACCGTGTGGTCTCTCTTCCTTTTGTCCCGATGTTCAGAAGATGTCCAAGTACGAGCTGGACCGCTACTTCGCGGACCCGACAACAGCACGCTCAGCCCAGATCGTGGCGAAAGGAGCCAGGGAAGTGCTGGGCGAGGTGGACCCCTTCGCTCCGGGCGAGCGACCCAACCAGATGCAGGTAGAATAGCCCAAACGAGATGTTCAATATGAGCCGGACCGTCTACACATGTATTTGACCGCGGGGCGTCTGTAGGTTGTACGTACGCCTGCTGCCCCGTCATCTGCGTGTGCGTTGACCGCTGTTCGTCGAGCATCGTGCGTGGATTGTCAAGATTTCGTTTTGTTCAGCAGCTTTCTTCTGTGTACGACAACGGAATCCTTGAATGCCGCCGCCTCCCCAGCTGCGAATACCATATAGCGACCAACCTGCCCAACGCGTTCTTCTCCTGGTTTGGATCGTTATTTCTACGAACACCTTCAAAAAAGGCGTTCCGCTCTTACCAACAAGGCATGAGCACCATTATCAGCGCCTACCTGGGGTGCGACCAGAATTACGGCCCGAGAAAAAGCTTGATAGTCGCAGCCCAGAGGATGCGTGAAAGCGGTCCCAAAAGTGAGCATTCAATGGCCGTAGCGTACGTCCTGGCGAGCGAGAATCTCGAGAGCTTCCTGGAACTGATGCGTCGCTTGGACAAGCCAATGAGGTATAAACAAACGGTACAAGTGTGGTCTCTGTCTATTTAGTCGTTTCACCATTGTGGTCTTCCCTCCATCCCGGACTGAGCCTTTCCAGCCAACATGGCGCCAAAAAACTATCTTTCCGGCAACTGATGTAGTTTTGACTGACTGAGTACAAGATTCCACGAAAGTTTGTATCCGACATATGCCGGACCTGACGTTGCTGTCTCACGGCCATAATTAAGGGCCAGCGACACAACGGTACAATAACGTGGTAGGCTGTCGGCACTACCACGCCATGTCGCTGGCTATGAAGCGGCATTATTGCGATAGACGGAGAGCGGTTGCGAGATGGTGATGGATCACCCTGTTGTAGAAGCTAACCACGGCCGGGAACGTACGCTTGTAGTGCTCTGCAATGCGTAGAACAACGGGACATACATAGTGTCTCACGGCAAATAATCGAGCCCCGCTGTGAATAGCATGGAGTATTTAATAGTGGATATACCAGTTCGCATACAGCTGAAAACGGCTGAAACGCGTCCATCATACCTGCGAAATGGTGTCAGCCTGTTCCAACGCGACTGCTGTGGCATCTGCTTCTCTCTCACTACCACTAGACAATTCACAGGGCCGGAGCAGGGCTCACCGCCCGACAGAGCCAAAATAGTCGTCGGGCCCCCTCCTTCTGTCCACGAGGACCCGGGCGGCGCCGTGGCACGACCTGGGTGTCGCCCTGCGAAGTGGGGAGTGGCGACCAAGGTGTCGAGCGCCGTCGCTGAGGGCAGGGGCTCACCCAGGAACAACCCGCAAGAGCCGCGCGCGAACGTATGGCCATCGCTGGAAAGGGACGAAGGGTCTCCATACCCCAACCGACCGAGCTCCCCACGGATGCGCGCGTTTCTCGAGCGGCTGCAAGGCGGCACGATTTGGAGCGACGAGTGTTCTTCTTCTCGAGAGGGAAGGGCGCCCCTACCGCCGCCGCCGCCGCCGCCACCGCTGGTTTCCTTGCCCGCGCAGGCGACAGACACGCCGTCCGTGATTGAGGACTACTTGCGCCCCTGCAGCCCGCGGCTGGGCGGGGGGGGCGGGGTTACCTTTCAGCGAGCAATCGGCAGCGAGAGTAAGCCGTCGTCATTGGAGGAGTTCCCGTCCGAAGTGGAAGGCGTGGGTGCCTGTTCCGGGCGTATGTCGCCGGCCGAAAGGGAGCGGCCAGACCGCCGGCCGGCGGCCGCGCGCTTCTCCTCCGGCGACCGCCCCGCTCCGAACCGCGGCAATGGCGCTGCGACGCCGGGCCGTTATTCGCCGGGCCGTTGGACCCCTCCGGGGAATTCCGGTGACCTGGACCCCGACCCGTGGGCACGAGGCTGGTTCACAGAGCACGGCAACGAGAACTGGGTCAGCGTGTCGGCGGAGGAGGATCGCGGCCCTCGTTTCCCCCCCGACCGGATGGATATGAGCAGCACCTTCGGCACGGACATGGTGAGAAGAAGTCGCGGAGTGTTTTGTCGTTGGTCGGCAGCAGTGACAAGACAACGAAGAGGTGCTGCATACCGTAAGGGTTGAAAAGCCGCTGTTTTTCTTCGGCCGCAGGCGCGCCGTTTTAGTGCTGCTTGCGTTCTTACTGCCGAGGGCTCTTAAGCGTGCACAATGTTCGGGGGTGTTCGGGGGCGGCCACCCGTATTGACACGTTTTCGCCGGCGACAAAAGATCCATTCCGCACGACCAGTTTCCTGCCTCCAACGGTGCTGTCGCCACCAAAGCCCTCATATCGGGCTGTATACAGTAGTACCCGAGGCTCACCCTTTGCTCCTTTGTCACTTGCCGCCACTGGTTCCCTGAACAAGAGGATTCAGGTGTCGGAACGCTTTAACAACTTGGAAGGCATGTAGGAACGCTGTGGGCCGGTTGGCGAAGCGGAACAGAACGATATAAACCCCCGCTCTCCGCCTCCTCTATCGGCGGGTTTTCATCGTTGCCCGATGAAACGCTCGGGTCTTACGACCTAAAGCAACCCGACCCCTTCCCACCCGCTCGCTCTCCAGGCCGTCGCGTCTCCGGCCCAACTTTTCGACCGGTCCGGCGGCGACCTCGCCTTCGTCAGCCCAAAGCACGAGAGCAGCAGCGGCCGCCGCGCCCCCGGCTCGCTCGCCCCAAGAGGACCGGACTGGTGTCTCCACGAGGACGACACCGCTGCAGGTGGCGGTTTTCGTAGCCGACTCGTCGACCAGGATGACGACGGTGCCTGGAGCGATGGGTCGGAGGAAGTATTTCCCGAACCGGACCCGTCCGACCTTGCGGACGGCGGCCTGCCGTGCTTGTCCCGCCGCCCCCTCGGCGACTGGACCGCTGTTGCCCCCCAAGGATGATGTCGTCGTCATCGCGGAAGGTTGTATCCAGAATCTACAAATGTTTGTTTTGTGTCGTGAGGTTCCAGATTGTGACGCTTGCGAAACGTCGTCATCGCGGAAGGCTAGAAAACCAATAACTGGATAATTTTGTGCTAGGTTTGCTTGTGTCGTTCGCTCTCCTCTTCCATGGAAGCCTCGGAATTTTCCCAAGACTACTGGGTGGTGGGCCAGGTGAAACCTCGCACCACTACCGGCGACCGCAACAACTGAAACGAACGGGCGAGGTGAAACGTCACAAAGAGGAGAAACAAGGGTAACGCCTGCTTACCCTGTTTTGTTTGAGTTGCCCTCGGCGTGCGGGTTCTTCCGAATGCCTTCCTTATGTGGATCTTCGTCTGTCTACGTAATACCTAGCACCGAGCGGGTGGGCAAGGTGCCGGACAGACCGCGCAGGTGCTAAGATCCCGCCCATAGTTGGTGATACGCCTCGCAGCGAACGGTTGAAGATGAAGACTACGTACTGTAGTAGATGTTGGAAATAACTGAGAAAAACCAGGCTACGGGGCGCTGACCAAACGATCCGCGGCGACTATCGATGCAGAGTTGGGGGTGGCAAGAAGAGTGTGATTGATGCGAGATCGGTGCGGAATCTTTTGTCGGACTCTTGGCGATGTGGAAAGCCGCCCCGGCCTCGACGCACAGTTTAATCGGTGCGTCTCGCGTGTTGTTGCGGCTGGCCCTGCGTTGGTGCTTGCGTGCGGCGAGAACCGCAGTGAATTGTGGCTATGAGTGTTGCTGCTTCCGAAGGAACGACAACGGGTGTGTACAGTTGTACGTGTGCCGTGTGTGGTCCTGGTTGGGTGGATTTGTAGCTGTCTGCTGTGGCAGGCCTACTAAGCAGCAGAACCAACTTTTTTGTCACGAACAGTGACTGCCTCATTATGACAATGTAGCTTTGGTTTGGATGGATACTCTCTTGCAGGAGACAAAACGGAATAGAGCAGAGGGGCGGCGCTCGGTAAGTACTTAGATGTACTTTCGCCTTAACCCAAAAATGGGTTCATCTAACAAGCAGGGTGAATCTGGGAATTGATCCGACACAAGAGATGGAAGCTTGATTGCTACATCGAGATGCGAACCGTTCCGATTCGAAACATGTGCTGGATCTCATCTATCGAGCCCGCCTTTTCGCGCTGTCTCTGACCTGATCCCGTGGCCAGACACCGGTCGAGTGCAAGGTGAAAAAAAAACGCTTTTGCCGCGGAAGGGGACGACGTACGGTGTTTTCTTTTCTTCAACAAAAACACAACAAATATTTCTCTCGCACAGATAAGAGCCCGTGTTGTAAGGGAGTCGTTACGCCCTGTCGACCAACAGTTGACAGCGCGATCTACGAATTGGACAAGTTCGTGTGAAGATGCAAGTCTCTGCCCCCCCGCCCCACCCTCGGGACCATACTCAGCGAAGGCGCGTGTTTTCCGTGCGCGTCACGCAAAAAAAAAAGAGTTGACGTCGACGTGTAGTACTAGATTCCACACACACAACAGTACAGATCATGAGCTAGCTCACCTATGTGGTACAGATCACCATGGAACAAACACACCCCGATCACCGAAGTCCTTCACATCACCATGGGGGCAAATACCGCACAATGATCACCCATGTCCAATCTACCGATCGCAAGGGACGCACCCTTCGAAATAGCCTTGAGTTCGATCTGTAGGGATCTGATCGTCCAGTGTGTGCGTCGAGATTCCGCGGCAAATGTTCTCCCTCGCGCATGCCTAGCTGTGGGCTGTTCCTAGTTCGGTCTCCAGCACGTAGCACACACCCTCCGGCCCTTCTTCGAGGAATCTTGTCCCTCCAACACACACCGAATCCTCAGCAAGTGGTGCTTTAGTTCGGTTTGCACTACCACTGACATCACGAACAAGCGCAGCAAACAATTGATAGTATTCCGGTCCATTTTCCATCTCCGGAGGCCCCCTTGCGCGGGCGCTACTGCTGCTACCGCTGCTGCTTCTGCCGCTGCTGCTGCTTCTGGTTCTGCTGCTGCTGCTGCTGCGGATGAAGTTCTTCGGCATCCGGGGTAACCGCGGTGTTGATATCGGCGAAACTCCGAGGGAGCCAGCCCAGGTCCGCGATGCGAACACTGCCAACACAAAAATAGGTAGGTCCAAGGGCGTCGAGATGAGGACGTGGACAGGGATAAATTTGAGGGCGGGGCTGACACTTGTGCTAACATAAACAGCCTCAGTCATGTATTTTTTACAGGAGGAACTTTTCTGGGTCGTGGGCGAATTGAATACCCTGCGACACGGGCACGACGACGACGACGACAAATAGGAACAAAAACGCAATAGCCTACGCACGTGTTTCTGCGTAAGCAAACGTGTAGAAATGGCCGAGTTGGGGTTTTAGGGTTAGGGTCTGTGTGCCCCCTGCCTGACCTTTGTTCGTTATAAACATAACTTTCTTTGCGCAAGAAGGCCCAAAAACAAGCAAAAAAAAAAAAAAAGAACGCGAGGGTTTCAGCTCGGTGGGTGCCCAACAACCTTGAAATACAGAGGGACAAGGGAGTTCCTCCAAAAGAACTACAATGGACGACGAGAGGCGCCAAATGCATAAGACGGCACCGCCCAAAAGGACATGAGGGCTGCAACGCACATAGCCCTGGCTCTGTCGCCTGCGCGGTCTTCTGGAAAGACGTGGGGACGACCAAAAAAACAGCGCAAGGCGACCCACACTTGCCGCTCTGCTGTCAACGCAACCCAGCAGCCTTCACAAGGGGCTTTCGTTGAAAGTAGGCATGTTGGATAAAGCACGCAATCGGGGAATTTGGGTTTTGGATAGGGTCAGCGATCCGGTCCACTAGCCTTCGCAGGGTTTTTCTATTAAGAAAGCATGTTGGATACAGTATGCAATCAATCGGGGGAGTTGGGTTGGGGTTAGGGATACGGTCTGCGTACCCCCTCCCTGTTCTATTCTTCTCATAAACACTTACTGATCTCGCGAAGACGGTCCGGTCAACTAACCCCCTAATCGCGCGAAAACACGCACGATAGAAATGTGCCATGTGCTACTGGTTCTGTCTTTAATCCGGACAAAAAGCCTATTGTAATAGCTTCCCTCATGACTCCCCCTTGCGGGATCATAGAAAAATTGCCTTTATCTGTAGAAGCGCTTTCGTGTATAGCCGCCCTGAGACTGACGCATTGGCCAGCCAGTTGGCGGGGTCGATGCCAACAACAAAAACACGCGCACACACGGACGACGCAGGGCTAGAGAGGAAATGTCGAGAAGTTGCTGTGAAAAAGACCATGAGAACGATGGAGTTGCAAGCAAGGAGGATGATGGTGATAGCACTCCAAAACGAAATCGAGTGCAAGGTAGCAAGCAGCCTTCGTAGACATGTGCAGTTTTCTTCTACTGCCACCGTTTCTGTCTTCGATATGGAGAATAGGTTAGCCTCCCCCGTGCCCCCCCCTCACGGGGTCCCAGTTAATGGCATTTAGAAGTGTTCATTGTTTTCACCCGCACTGAGACTGACGTCTTTTCATTGGTCAGCCGATTAGCGCGGTCGATGCTACTACTAAGAAGCACACACACACACAAACGCACACACACACGCACACACACAAACGCACCGCATGTTATCGAACGCCAGGCAGACTTTCGTGCCCAGCCCCCCCGCAAGGGAGGAAGGCATGTGCGGGTACCGCTGGCTGAAGTGCGTCAAGATGACCCGTTCTGCTCCCATGCGCTGCCCCACGGCCATGGCCTCCTGCATCGTGCAGTGCCGCTTGTCGAACGCCTCCTGTTTAAGGGGGGGGGGGGGTTGGGGGGGGGTACTCATAGTCGTGCATGCCGTAGTCGTTAGACCATTGACCTCGCATCCCTACAAAGCCGGGACGGAGCACGCCGGGTTCTCACCGGACCAGGCTCTCACATCACCAAGCGCGAAGCGCCGTGAGGTATTCGGCGAGTCGCATGAAGGTGCGTTGCATCCTGCTAAGGATGTTCGGCATCTTGTCCTTACTTCCTTGCGTACGGATCACAGATGCGTATGACTTAATTTTTTTCTGGTGCCTTCACTTCCAGAGACAGTTGGAAGCGCTGTGTACCTGCCTCGAGGGTGCTTGACCAATGGGGGGGGGGGGATATTTTGCATGCCCCAATGGTTAAACCAATGACAACGCCTCCCCCCAACCGAAGGCCAATCCTTCCTTCCTTCCAACGTTGCCAAAAACTGGGGGGAAGGGGGGGGGGGGGGCCGTGGATGCTCTCCCATT